TACCCGGACATGCACCGCCACCGCGTAGGTGTCAACTACCAGCAGATCGCGTCAACCGCACGGTGCGCGCCTTCAACCCCTTTCAGCGCGACGGCGCCATGGCTGTCGACGGCAACGGCGGCGCCGCCCCGGGCTACGAGGCCACGGCGAGCCCGCTGGCGTACAAGCCCGTGCGCGCCGTGTCGGGCCACGAACGTTGGGAGGGCGAGGCTGTCGAGGCTGTGTTCGCCGAGGTCGGCCCCGAGGACTACGTGCAGGCCGCCGGTCTGTGGGCCGTGCTGGGCCGGACGCAGGGCCAGCAGGAGAACTATGTCGGCAACGTGGCGGGGCATCTCGCTGGCGCCGAGGAGGGCACGAGGAGGCGGGTGTATGAGATGTTTGGCAAGGTGGATGGGGAGCTCGGCAGGCGGATCGCGGCGGCGACGGAGAAGCTGGCGGCGCCGGAGAAGCTGGCGGCGCCTGCGGAGGTCAAGTCGAAGCTGTAGGTGGATTCATCGACGTCAAAATTGGACATGCATCGTTACGTTGTGTAGTAGGATGTGGAACACGTAACGTGAATACAAGGAAGCGAGGGTCTGGATTATGGAGTGATGTGGCTCGCGATGATCCACCTGATGAGGAACAGTAAAAGATATACGGACCATAATTCATAGATGATGACTTTCTTTCAGGGATCTTGTCCTCTCGCACCGATGTCATATCATCGCATTCAAACAACATGCACCGCCCACCACAGCCCAGGAAAAGCGCACCATCTAATCCACAGACAGCAGAGGACCCTCAGGCCAGACGTCTCACATGAGTCACATGTCCAAGCCAAGCCGACGCTCCAAACAGCCCAAACTGGAACTAGCACAGGCAGTCGAGGCACTGGAAGCAGCAGAACCCAGCACACATGCCGCAGCAGATGGCCTGCGTGGTCAGCAGTCAGGCCCAAGAAATAGAGAGAGTCGACAAATCTCATAGCAAACGTCCAAACAGAGGATCGCGTCCCCGAAAACTCTCAACAAAGGGTCGAACTTGATAAAGGGTCGAAGAAGCAAAAATAGAACGAAAAATAAAAAGGCAGAGAAAGGCCTAGAGAGGCCGACTCACCGAACAGTCACCCCTCCTCCCGCCGCGCAGGGCGAGAGCCTGCTCCTCCGACGAGGGCGCGTAGGACATGGGCGCGATGGGACGCTGGGCTTTTCGTCAGCCTGACCAGCAAGTGGCACCAGATGAGGATCTGGGTGACGTACAGGTTGGGCGAGACGGGGCTGCGGCGAGAGCAGCGCCGGCTCTGGCGGTGCGAGGACGGGGTTCTTCTCGAAGGACATGGCGGCGGCGGCGGCGTAATGTTATCGGAAAGTGTAGGGCGTGTTACTGATTGACAAACACTCTACTGATGCATCTTTGTTGGATTTGCCGGACTCTCGGACTGAGGTCGAGCGAACGGCAGCATAGGGCATGTAGGAGCTATAAGTCTGTGTATCGCCGCTGGCGAGAGGCGCTGCGCGAATTCAGCGGATGGTCGAAAACATGGCGCGTCGGTCAGGTATCCCAGGTAGGATGATGCGTCATGTCAGACATTGCAGGTAAGCAGAGGATAGCTACAGATGCGGCTGACGGATCCGTGGACGGTTGGGAGGGGTCTGTCGGGGCAGAAGCGGCAGGGTCAGGCGGTGTTGGTCTGACGTTGGGGGATGGATGCGCGGTCGTGATGGCCCCAACGTGACGTGTGCGAGTGATCACATGCCGTTTTCTGTCTCGGTTGGGCCGCCCCAAATGTTGCTTCGCAGAGGGCGAATACTTTGTAGTCGTGGAACTAGATTTCTGCAGTCCCATTCCCTCCTCTGATGGTTTTCCCTCCTCTGATGGTTTTCCCTCCTCGGATGGTTCCCTCATGGCGCATGGGATTCGTGCTTTGGCTCGGTTTCGCTTTCGCCATGGGACCTGTCCTAGGTACTGATATGAGGTACTTTGCATGCTTGCGATAGTCAGCGTCATGTAGGCCACCACGGTCACGCATCCAGTCTCAAAACAAAAAGAGGCGCCGTGGACTACATCAAGTCATGCACGCAGCAGAATCGTCACGTCCTCCGCCCGCACCCTCCTACTTCATCCACCCGATGCGCTTCCACAGCCAGCTCATCCCCCCGAGCGCGGCCGTCACGCCCGTAAACACAATCAGCGTCCCGTAGCCGCTGCCGTAGCCGAACGCGGCATCGCCCATCCACGGCTTCCCCTCGATGAGCGCCTCGCTCAGCGGTCCCGACACCATGTTGCCGACACCTCGGCCCGACGCGAGACAGCCAAAGACCAGGATGGGATCCACGCCCCTGCCCTGGCCCTTCTCCCGCTCGACGATGCTCGTCATGACGCCGGGCCAGGCCGACGTGTAGCTGCCGGCAAACAGGCCGTACACGGCGCAGAAGACGTAGAGCACAGGCAGATTGGAGGCGAACCCCCAAAGCATCAGACACCCGACGGCGGCGCCGATGGAGCTCACGAGGAGACAGTGGCCGACGGGCAGGCGGTCCACCATGTGACCCATGGCGACGCAGCCAAAGACGCTTGCCACGTTGACAAACAAGAGCGTCGAGGCGGCGGCGAAGGGTGCCGCGCCGAGAAACGTCTGGGCGTAGGATGGCAGGTAGACGGCTGGTAGGAAGTAGCCGAGGGCCTCGACCATGTTGGCAACCTGGTGCAGCAGAAAGGGCCGGCTCAGCAGGAAGCGTACGTTGGCGTGGGGCCTGCGGAAGGCGGCGCTCGAGGAGCGGGCGCTGGTCGGCGGGATGCGCGGGCGGATGAAGAAGGCCAGAGGCGCGGCCAGCAGGAACAGCAGGCCGGCCCAGAGGCGGAGGGTCGTGCGATGACCGAAGCGCGAGAGGAGCGTCTCCATGAGAAGGGGGAAGATGACGCCGGCGATGCCCGTACCGGACCACATGATGCCGTAGGCGAGCCCCTTGCGACGGACGAACCACTCATCCATGTAGACGATGCAGGGAATGTAGGCGAGGGCACCGCCCATGGCATAAAAGACGCCCTGGGTGGCGATGAGATGCGGCACCGTGGTGCTGAACGAGGACATGGCGAGGGCGAAACACGTCAAGAGGAGGCCGATGACGGGCGACCAGCGGGAGAAGCGAGGGACGACGCGGAGGACGGAGATGACGAGAGGTGCTATAAAGTACATGATGCCCATGGCGCAGGTGCCGATGACGGCAATGTTGGGGGCGCCGGCAAAGGGGGCGTGGGTCGCATAGTAGCTGCGGAAGACGCCAAAAGAAAAGGGGAAGCCCCAGATGAGGGCCTCGACGAGGAAGCAGGCGGCGAGGAACAGGTACGCATGTTTGCCCTCGTCAGCAGGCGGCAGCGACTCGAACTCATCGGCGGGATCGTGTGTGTCGGTGACGGCGGGGAGGTCGGTCTCACCGAGGGCGGCATCTGGCGTTGCGGCACCGAGGGGGGTTCCGTCGAAGAAGTCGGGACGGTCGAGGGTTCGCAGTTCGAGGCTGGGCCGCACTTCCGACGTGGCCATGATGATGACAAGATGGCGATGGCAGTTGACTGTGATCAAAGGGAGCGACAAGGCCGCAGCTGTAGAGCCCCGATCTAGATCTCGATGGCAGAGAAACAGTCGAGAAGCAGGCGGAAAGAGTGACTCTTAAGCAGTTGCCTCAAGTGAGCGACGACCAGAAAGAGGAAGGAAGCACCAGCCGGGGCCCACTAGCCGCGCCCTTGCTGTCAAACCCCTCCGCCCAGCGTGTCATCAGGGGTCGTCGCCTCGAGTCTGAAGGTATGGGTGCCGACCGAGTAGTGCTTACTTTCGACTTGCTGTGGTTGGAAACCATCAAGCTTCACCGCTACTCGATGGCCTCAACGCAAACACGACGCTGCTGTGGGCAATGAGCGACGGCATGACAACATGAGAGGAACACTCTGCGTGCCACGTCCGATCTCGCTGGCGGCACGAACCCTGTGCTTGGTGTGTTCGATTGACGACATCATTGACTGCCCAGCTCGTCATAAGCCAGAAGAAGATACATCCTTTCATTTCTATAGAAAATTGCTGAAGCCTATAGAAGATTGCTGAAGCCAATAATCCATCTCACATGTGCAGCGAAGCGACCCTGTACTTTTAAAAATATGCTAGTTGCAAAAGACCAAAAACGCCGTGGTCATGGCCATATACCCAACCGTTACACCAAGAACCCTTTTTATTTTGTGTTTCAGACCCCTCGGTTTTCCACCTGTACATCTTTCTTCCTCTCCTTTTCCTGATCCCTCATCAATTTTTTCATTTTTTTTCCGGTCCAAAACGAGTCGAATCAAGCACACCCCCTCTAAGGGTAGGACGTATCCCCCCGCGCGAGAAGCGGGCGCTGGTCCCACCGGTCCTGGTCAATGCTGTGCCCATCAGCCTCCTCCTCGTCCTCGTCGTCGCCCTCGTACTCATCGTCGTCCTCGTCCTCGTCCTTGCGGTACAGGAAGAACTGCACAAAGATGCCCATGTCGAGCAGCAGCGTGCCCATGCTGCCAGCGAGCCACGACAGGTTGACGAGGATGTACCGCGCGTACCCGCGGCCCGGCGCGCAGCCGTGGCGGCCGCAGTGCGGGTCGTACGCAAAGATGGACAGCACGTACGTCAGATTGCCGAGGCACGCGAAGAGGAAGAAGAGCATGCTGACGCCCTCGGTCGACTTGCGGCGGTAGTTGAGCAGGATCTGCGGCAGCCGCGAGCCGAGGTACAGCACGGCGCAGAGCCAGCCAAAGACCTGGCCCCAAAAGTTGAAGCCGAGCTGCTGGTCGGCGCCGTGGTCGTCGTGGCCGTCGTGGTCGCCGTCGTGGTCACCGTCGTGGCCGGCGCCGTGCGTGGGCGAGTAGCGCCGGCTGAGGAGCCAGCCGAGGACGCCGGCGGCGCAGACCATGAGGATGGCGACGGCGTTCCAGAGGGCCGTCTGCAGACGCGTCGGCTGCGCCGGCGTCGCGGGCGGCGGGCCGTCGTGCAGCGGCACGGCTGGCGAGAGGTTCGACCAGTCGGAGCCGCGGCGCTCGCGGTGGGCGGCGGCGTGGTCGAGCAGTGTGGTGCGCTCGTTGAGCATGTCGCGTTCGCGGCCGGGGACGCGCGCGGGCCTTGGCTTCGGTGCCGGCGGCACGACCTCGTCCTTCCAGGTGAAGCCGCGGTAGTAGAAGCACTGGGCGAGGAGTACGATATCGGCAATGGTGTAGTAGATGGCGAGAATGATCTGACACGTCAGCTTGGACGGCTTTTGAAGGGGGAGCGGGCTGAGAGAGAAAACGCACCATGGTCGGAAGAACGCCCTGCAGGACGGCGCCCAGAATGTTAAAGACATCGCCAGCAAGCCAGACAATGATGAACTGCAGAGACAGTCCGTCTGCGCTGCTGCGGCGAAAGTTCTCGAGGATCTGGGGCGAAAAGACGACGACCCAGCAGGCAATGGAAATGGAGCCACATATGCCCGAGATGGCCTCGACGTCGAGGTGCAACGGCGCCGTGGGAGGTGCCATGGAGAACATGTTCGACAGGCGGCTGGCCGTGGTCGTAGCGCACAGCTCGATGAGGGCGGCAGTTGGTGACGATGCGTTCGTAAGAGGGTGCACCAGAGGGAGGTGGGGAGGGGCGAGCAGTCTGGTGCTTGGGGGGCGAATGGTTCCCGGGATCCGCCTAGATGTAACAAAGAACCCCGACAAGACGAAGATGGGGGAAGAAAAGAACAAGCAAAGGGAAGAATGGCGTCGGCCGTGACTCAATTGACATCTGCGGAACTGGGTGGCGCGCCGAGCAAAGTGTCGCGTGCCGAGCAAAGTGGTAAGGCTTAAGGCAGAAGCAGACTTTTTCCTCATCGTCCAAGTTGCCTGTGCTGCTTCCAGTGGAGGGCCTAAAGCCTGGCTGCCAAGCTGCCTCCCTCTCGTTCAGCGCCTCTCGGGTGTCAATCCGGTGACCGTGCTCTCTTCTCGGAGCGAGCTGCAAAACTCGATAGGCTCGTCATTATAATCCACGTGCCCCCCTGCAAGGTCCTGCAAGGGTAGACTCGGCCCTGCAGGGGTAGAGTTTTTAGCGAACGAAAGCGACGTCACAGGGCGATCTGGAATGCGGGGAGGCCGAGGCCAGGGTCCCCGCCAACCCTAACCCTGAGTCAGCTCTCCCGGCCGCTGCCCGCTGCGAGAGCTCTTGCTGACCCATCGGAAGCAGAAGTGGAAGGTGGGGTTCTATCATGATGCCTGCTTCGACAATGATGAGTGTGTCTACTTGTTGAGCTGCTACTTGTTGAGCTGCTGCTCAATCAAGTCCATATCACTGTGATTCCCATTCATCAGACACCCTCGAGAATGGCCCATCGCCGAAACGTTAAATCGTAAATCATCACGCAGCCAACGCTCCGCACCGGAGCTCCCTGCTAGCGTTGTCAAATGGTGATGCAACATTTGCTGTCGCGGCCCCACGATATTTGTCCGAGTCGGCACTGGATTATTAAGCACTCACCTCTCATTCACAACCACCGCCATCACGACATTCTACCTTCCGTGACATACCCTCCATACCCCCTCTTCCCCTCTCACGAACGTCCAACAGCAATCACTACGACCATTGCATCCTCAATCCTGCTCACTGCCCTCCACACCAGGGCACCGTGGCTCCGCTGCCTCCATCGATCTTTCGCCTCCGGCTTTACCGCTCGCGCCAAAACATACCTCGGCATGGCTCCTCACGCCGCCCCTCAGCTTCTCCCGCCGCTCGATGACCCTCAGTCGTCGCTGTCGAAAAAGTTTGGCCGTGAGACCATCAACTACTTTGCCGGCAACCCCGTCAACCGCCTGTCATGGCTGCGCACCGATTTCGGGTTTCTCAGGACAGCCTTCCAGCTCGAGGAAACTCGCTTCCTCGCCCTGAAGAACCTCACACCCCTGGTCGACGACCCGAACACGCTGTCCCCTCTGACGTACAAGGAGCTCTCCCCGGTCACCGGCGAGGACCCCTTTGGCCCCTCGGAGGACGACCTCATCAAGAACTTTGACTCCAACGAGAACCGTCCCGTCGTCCTGTTCCTCGGTCTCCTCGATGACGGCAGTGTCCCGTTCGAGTACAAGGGTCACAAGGGCCGCCCCTACTTCGCCGTCAACGTGACACCCCACGGCACCTACGCTGCCGCTGCGCAGACCTTCATCGACGAGCAGCAGGCGCGTGGCAGGCAATTCCTCGAGGCGAGGATACACCTCTCCCTCGATGCCCGATCAGGTATGTTTAATGCGTCTGCTACCCATTGCTAGCAAAAAGGCCTGGCCTGACAGAACCCCCCCCCAAGCTGCCCTCTACGCCCAGGCGCGCTCCACCATTGACTGGAACGCCCGCAACCAGTTCTGCGGCGGCTGCGGCGCGCGCACCCTCTCCGGCCACGCCGGCTTCAAGCGCATCTGCCCGCCAACGGACCGCGCCACCGCCGCCTCCGGCACGCCGCGCGCCGACTGCCCCACCCGCAGGGGTGTCTCGAACCTCAGCTTCCCGCGTACGGACCCGACCATGATCGCGCCCGTCATTTCGGCCGACGGCAAGCGCGTGCTGCTGGGCCGCCAGAAGCGCTACCCGCCGCACATGTACAGCACGCTCGCCGGCTTCCTCGAGCCGGGCGAGTCGATCGAGGACGCCGTGCGCCGCGAGGTCTTCGAGGAGAGCGGCGTCCGCGTCGGCCGCGTCGCCATCCACTCGAGCCAGCCCTGGCCCTACCCGGCCAGCCTCATGATCGGCGCCGTCGCCCAGGCCCTGCCCGACGGCGAGGCCATCGACCTCGGTAATGACCCCGAGCTCGAGGCCGCCCACTGGTACCCCGTCGACGAGGTCCGTCTGGCGCTGCAGTTGGGCGTCGGCGGCCTCGGCGAGCCCGCGCCCGAGGGGTACGTCGAGGGCACCCTGCGTCTGCCGCCGCACACGGCCATTGCCAACAGGCTGCTGGCGGCGGTTGTCGACGGCTTCGCGACGGCGGCGGATGCGTCCAAGATTTAGGGGGACGCTTTCTCAACGAATAGACTCTGGTTTTGAAGAGAAACCGCTCCTGCCATCTGTGTAGACTGCCAGCTCAATAGAACTAGATATTCTGAATGCCATGGTAAAGCGATGTATGACTTGATAAGTCGACGTGGAAGTGCGTATCAGTGTGTTCACATACTTGAGCGTAATCTTGGGCTTCAGCTTGATGCATCGGGTACGAATTTTACAGATTTAAGATTTTGATATTGACTCGCTGCTTGTTTTGTTGCCACGTCCGTTCATATCTCAAGCTTCATCACTTTCGTGTTCCTCTTTCTTTCCATCGTATTACGCCCAAGTGTGCGGTTCCCTCCGGACCCAGATCATGCCGTCTCCTCCGAGACCTGGACCTTGGAAACCGTTCCAGGAACCGAACCGAACCTCTCGTCCTCGCCCTGCCCCACTTCAGGGTACCTTGTGGTAAAGTTGACGTCTGGGGCGGAACGCCTGTCACCTAGAGGCGAAGCCTCGTGTGTGTAGTGTTCCGAGCCATTCTCTGCCACATCATGACTGGCCGATGTCGAGCTCAACGCATTGGATCCCATCTCTGGCAGATTTCTCACATCCTCGGCCGTGCGCGACGCCGTCTCGCGGGCCTGACCTGTCAGATCCGCAGCAGTCTGACTGACTCCCTGTGTAGCATCGCCCACGCGTTGCTGCACGCCGGCAGCCGACTCGCGTACCCTGGCAGAACCCTCTGCCAACTTGGCCTTGCCGCCGCTGGCGAGCGCGTTGGCATTATCAGCGGCGGCAGTTCCGAGTTTCTCGGCTTGAACCTTGGCATCGCGAGCCACCTCGCGGCCTCGTGCGGACGTCACGAGCGGAGCGACGAACAGAGAGGTCAGGCCCAAGATTATGAAGCCAAAAGGCGACAAAATGCCGCTCAAGAAGTAGACGCTGGTGATGACAAGGAAGGCCTGAAGTACGTCAGCTTGAAAATTGCTTCTATTCTTCGCGCAGAAGACGTACGGCAAACGTTCGGTCGAGGTCCTGACCTAGAGCGACCTTCTGGAGCTTGACAATGGCATACTGGACGAAATCATGAACATCCTTGAGAGTCGCGTTGAGCGTCGATTCGGGTATGGTGCGATACTCGGTGGGTCGCAACCTCGAGAGAAGGGTCTGGGACGTGAACTGTCTGTTTGCAAACTCGGTGACGGACACCACTGTTGGGGGTCAGAAGCTATTCGTAGAATCAGGAGGTGGACAAGAGCTGGGGATGTATACCTCCAAGACTGATGGCGCCATACTTCAGAGCAAGCTGCGTCCACGGATAATAGTGTGTGACGATCAAAGCAGTAAGGGCAGTAAAGTATGCGCCAAGAGTCCTCAGGGGGTCTTCCCACTGAAGCTTGTTAGTGCTGCCACAAGACTGTAAAGGGGTGTGAGAATTGTATGTCTTACGTTGATGTACTTATAGAGACTGTCCTGCTGGTCTTCAGGTTCGGCAAAGTCAGCAAAATTACGAGACACGTAATGGGACATTGAAACAAAACCCAGTCGACGTCTATGTGACGCTTACTTATGATCTCCCTCAGCGGACCCGTGGCCTCGCGACTCTCGTTCGTTTCTCTCAGCGAACGGGTCGACTCCTGATCCTCATTGCTGCCGACACGGCGCTTATGCTCATTGAGGATCCTTGCGCGGCTGCGTTGGGCATTGGATGCGTGCTGATCGGCAATGTCGCCAGGAATGACAGTGTCCATAGTAGTGGTAGGTGCAACTCGTGATGGCTTCAGCTCGTTTCGATAGGTAGAGCGAGATGACAAAAGGTGAGAGTGCAGGAACAAGAGAAGAAAAGCCGGTCACTCACGCTTTCTATTTCAACGGATGAACTTGTAACACAAAGTTGGAGCAGGAGCGGCTGAGCGATTGGTCTTTCCGTCAGTGACGTGCCCGCATCGTCATCATGGTCCATACAGCATCTCGATCAAAACCAAGGGAAGGCGCTGGTCGAGCAAATGCAGCTATCCACATACTTGACCGGTCGCGTCATGGCAAGCGCCAACAAACAAGCACCTGCTTGCCATGGGCCGGGAGCCCCCTTAGGTAAGGCACAAATCAGGTAGCACGAAGCGTGATGTCAGACGTGGAGGAGAAGCTCCGCAAGCGTCACCACCCAACAATCTTCCGTCTTCCACCTCAGTCCATCTGGCGGGCTCTGAGGTCCGTCTCTGTTGCATCGAATTCACCGTCACATGTCGAATTGTTCCTTGGTTTTGAGGTCAGATCATCGAACATTCATCCTCGTACTCTCACAGAACCCTGGCACCAGGTCGGCATGGCCATGGAACAACTGTCAAGTCTGATTCACACAAGACTGCTCTGCCTAGCCAGGCCTCTGGCTGTACACTTGACCGCTGCTCCAGCCACCCCTTCAGCTTGACCCTCAATAGATAGCTCGGCGTACAGCTCCATGCATGGCAGTAGCTGTTGCACTGACAGTCGCCATATGGACTGCTACGACTATCCTCCGGATCAAAGCACTCCTAGAAGGTGTCGGCGCCCGCCCTCATCATACCACCCCAGTGCTCGCGGATAAGCTCAAGACATTTTGCCGCCACCCACCACGCTCAGCGCCTCGGCGACGTGGTGGTACAGGTACATCGTCATCGGCCTGACTGCTTTCGGGTCTGCCATGGCTTTCAAAATCGCTGCTTTGCACGTCGCTGGGCCCATGACCCCATCAAGTGCCATCCAAGCCTGCGATGCCCAGGATAACGAGACCATACATGCCGGCATCGCGGTCGAGCTCCTTGGCCCAGTCGAGGAACTTCCACCCGCTCCAAGCTCCACGCGAGAAAATACCCTCTTCCCCGATATATGCCAGTGCCGCCTTTGTGCTGCTGAGAACCGTCTGCCACAGCTCGCGTCCCGTGTCGTGATCTCGCGTTGCCTCGCAATAATCATCAACAATTGACCCAAAGAGTACGTCGTAGTCGACGAATGTAGTCTGTAGGATAGCCTCGGTTTCTCGGACACATACGCTGGCAGCAACCCATCCTCACGGAGCACTGCCGGCACCGCTTGACGAGGTCGCCGTCCCCAAACGTAGTTTGTGAGCGCCTGCAACCAAAGATCCCCGCTCCAAAGCCGTCCGTCTCGCCGGGGCCCGTCCTCGAAGACTGTCTGCATGCAGCTGCGCAACGTGTTCTGGCTCACCGCGTTGATGCGCCTCAGGAGCTTAGCACCGTCATCGTTGGTCTCAGGGACGGGGCACGGCTCCACGGGATGGTCCGGCGGTACAGCGCTTTCTGATCGTGTCACGATCCCGCTGAACTTCATCTTGCACTTGGGCGAGGTGTCGAATGTTTGCACACGCAGGGGGCGGAAGGCGTGGCGCCGCGGTATCGCCACATCTGTCGGCACCCAATCGACATTGATGACCTCGTCGGGGAGCCAGCGGGTGCTGATCCACGACCGGCATGGGTGAAGCTACTCTGTAATCTGTATCTCGCCCAATGTGAGTCTCAGCCGTGCCGGGGTGTTCATATTAAGCCCTTCGGCGCCGAGGTGAAACGAGACGTAGCCGACATTGTGGGAGCCAAAGTCGAGGACGAATCCCTTACACGAACCTCAGGCCCTGTTGGCAAGCTCCTCAATCGAAAGTCGGTGAATTGGTCGTACCCTGGAATAGGCTGCCTCACCTGGTCCGAAGGTGATGACCTCTTTGGGCTTGACGTCCAATGTGTGAAGGGTTGGCCGCAGGTTTTCAGCCTTTTGCGCAAACACGGGGTGGAAGATTGTGGCATACACCTTGTCGACCTTTTGGTCCTCGGGTACAGGTTGGTCAGCCATTTGAAGCCCTTACTGTGAAGTGCCTGCCGCTGTGGAAGAACGACGAGTAGTTGTTGTCGCACGGTGCGGGCGAGGAGTCAGGACGCATCCTTTGAAGTTGCTACGTTGGGATCAAATGCATGAGCCCAACCGCAAACCTGGGAATCATCGGCCACCCAGAATGACTATGGGGACATCGGTGCAAATGACACCGAGCTCGTCGTACCAAGCAGTGGATGGCGGATCCAAAAAGTTGGGTAACCTGCTGCTTTGGCGTGAATCATTTTACCCCTCTCATAGCGCTTCTAGGTTATAATACTAGGACGACCGTAAGAACAAAGCCCTGCGTACTTATCAAACACTAAAATAAAGCAAGCTACTATACTACATTACGAATAGAATAGACTAGCCTGCTCTATAGCCTAGCCTTCGTCATACACATGGCCTTACCTTCCGTACAAACATGACCTGATCTATAGGCACGTGCCCCTATTATCTATCTATATTTTTGGGGCAAAAGTTTAATACCCTCCGAGGCAGCGGCTACCCTATATAGCTATAGGCAAAAGCTTAAATACCCTCCGAGGTAGCCACTATCCCTACCTATAGGGGATGCTTAGATAGTATAGTAACGGTCCTTTCCTTGTATAAGATTATACTGCCTTGATAAAGCTAGTCTATAAGCTAATAAGATAGATTGTTGAACCAATATTAGGGAACTCTGTGGTTAGGATGGTGATATCTGGGATATCTGGGATCCACTGCTCTCAGGAGCACGTGAACTACGGCTTACGTGATCGCTGAGAGCAGATGGGTATATCTGACTCACGAAGGTAGCAGTAACTTAGACAAGAATTAATCAAGAATCAACCATCACAAGACTTATCAGATACCCTACCTATTCAGAGCTCGCAAGCACAGCGGAAGTACTGGATTGGGGTTCACATAAGCAGTGAAGCCCTCTCAACATAGATAATATAGGAGCTAGGGTCTTATAACTCCTCTAGTGGCTAAAATAAAAACTAAACTATATTAATATATAAATTATTAGAAAGAGAAAAGTATATCTATAAGATAGTTTACGTTTTATAAATCTTTATAAAGCTATTTAATAATAATAAATATTCAAGCTCTCGTATCTCTTATTAGCTTAGTTTTGAAGCTAGAGTAAATCCAACTCTACTTCCCTATAGAATTAGAGGTAGTCTAGGCGCCCTATCTATACTTAGGCTCTAAGAATTAAATTATTAGATATTAAGTACTCCCTTAAACTTATTTTTTAGCGTCTAAATAAGATAATTAATATTATAATTAGAGAGCTATTAATGAAAACAGAATAGAGTTATAATATCTTATTGTCTATATAAGGCCTTAAAGATCCCTTCCAACTTGATATTCTTTTCTTTATTAAAAGATATACTGCCCTATTCTAAGAAGTTTTAAAGATCATTATGAAGCTCTCTATAGCTACGACTATTACTCTGCTTGTTGCACTTGCTACTGCAACTCTTCGTGGCCTTGGTGGTACGTTAGGATCACTAACTATTCTTCATTCTTACCTTTTACTTCTTACCCTTACTAATGGCTTCGAAGGTGAATGCCGGAAAGCAAACGATTGCTGCCCCTGTGATACGGGTTCTAAGAGATCTCTCGGGTGCGTGCGTATGTGAAGTATCTCTATTATCACTTATAGTCAAATCTCACTTTTTATATAGTCGATGCTACGTCGACTACTCATTACCGCTGCCAAATATCTGGCAGGGATCGGACATGGTGCTCCCATAATCCTGGCCAGTGTGGAGACTGGTCCACCATTAACACCTAAGGTGTCATCCCCTTGACGATTTGTGCCTTACTAAAGGCATGTACTGTGTCAGAATCTCCAATGACGAAGAAGCCGCAGGATCTGACATTGTGGGACAGACGTCTAGTGATTACTCTGAGCATGGTAAAGTGCCTATTAACTAAGGATTGGCCATTCCTTGGGTTAGCAGTCAAACACGAGTAATACTAAAGTTGAAATCGTCATCAAAAGGCCGGCTGAGTGCCTAAGGCCTCTGACCAGGGAGGCACGTGGCCCCGTTATTGATATAGGCCTATGTGGCCTATCCATCTTGATTGAGCACTCGTTTTGCCTTACACGTACAGAACAGCTATAACTACTTTCATGTCTTCCTGGCGTGATCTCTGCCTGGTCCCAGACCCGTCTCTAATACAAGCCGCATAAGAGCCGTGTCCATCCAACTATGCATCATACTCCTCAGCAGCTAGCTCGCTAATAAGCTTTATGCTCGTATGCATGCGTGCGTGCAGGAACCTCATTTCCTTCTTCATTATTTAGTACATAAGTCTTGAGTTAGATTTCCCCTTTATCCCTATGCTCTTTATCTAGTACCTACTTATATAGTTAAGGCTTTATATTAGAGCATTAGTTAGAGCAGAGTGAAGAGGTCTTCTATACGTAGTCCGGAGTAGATAGAAGATTGGTCAGGGGTCGTAATATATCTGAATTCTAGCCCTCTATAGCTTAGAGGGCCCTCCGTAGCCTATATATATACGTTCTTGTAGCCCTTAGTCCCTAGCCGACCCCTGCTTAGCGGCTCCGCAGGGAACCCGCAGGGTCCCCTGACACTTTGTCCCAGCGAGACGCTCGAAGACTAACACCATACATACATCGCCATAATTACTCTCTCCACAAAGCGGTTAAGCCACAGCCGTGGCCCGGCAATCGCATAAGAACATCCTGGCATTCCAAAAGCCGCCAACAGGCATCTGCCTGATCTTTCGTGGTTCAGATGGTCAGAGAGAGGCTCGCCTACCCATCTGAGGGTGTTGCCGATCAGGCAAGGTTCTGTTCTGTGACCCAGGAGTACTTTCATCCCAAATGTGGAGTCCTCATTTGATGCATTTGTTCTGTCGTTATCGCCCCGGTAAGACTCCTTACCGATGCTGGATCTGACCAATTACCTTCGTTTGGACTTCTGGAAGTCTCCTTTTGTACCTTAACAACAATCAATCCACTTTGTTCAATTCCGTGGTGACAGGAACTGTGCTGATTCCTATGAACCTAACTACATCCAACGTATATCCTCTCCAATATCATCGTGGCAATATCGGACATGAATGAATGCGATTTCTACACAAGGTACACGAGGATTCATGTTTGAGGCCAAAGCTAGCAAGCTTGGCATGCCGGTGTCTGAAGAGCATTGGCAGCAGCATTGAGATATTGGGCCAGCTTGCTTGTACCACCACACTTGCACTTTACACTCCGCACAAATGTCTGCGTGTTCAGCTTTGCGCCGTCCCAGTTGGTGTGGGTGTTGTCGTTGGGGAAATACGTCTTGGCCTTTGTCGGGCCGAAGGACTGGAAGAGCGCGACGGAGTACTTTGTGTGATCGAGGTACTCGACACCCGCGGCCTTGGCCACCTGCTGAGCATACGTCGCAAACGGCCAGTCGGTGCGCAACGTGTTACCATTCCAGTAGTTCCTGTTGACCATGCCGGAGATGATGGGCGTGGCGCCCTTGGCCTTGACATCTGCAATCATCTCGCGCAGGTACCAGCCAAACGTGTGGACAGTCTCTTTGGCGCCGGTGCTCGTGGTGACGACTTTGGTTTCTTCGCCTATGCCTGGCAGCGTGGCACGGTCCGCGGCCGTCGTTCCAACAGCCGTCGGGTCGCCGTCGTCATTGTGGCCCATTTCTATCAGCACATAGTCGCCTTGAGCTGTCGAGGCCAACAGAGACGACCACAAGCCTTCGTTGATGAAACTCCGAGTGGAGCGCCCGTTTCTGGCCAAGTTACGGACGTCCAGTGTCGTGTAAGTGTTCAGATAATAGCCCCATCTGAAGAGAGGATTAGCACTCAGTATCGGTGAGAGGGATTGTTCCACTGGGCTGATCGGCATTCACCCTTGCAAAGCATTTCCAGTGGCATAGTTGGCGGTCGTGCTATCGGAAGATATCAATATCTTCGTAGTCGCCCTTGGCTCCACAGAAAGCGGTGCAGCCAGAGCGAAGCTGGGTGCGAGAGCCGCTGTGGCAAAAAGTGCTGAGAAAAGCATGACATGCGGCACGATATTTCGAGACTGGACGAGAGTAATGGCCTTCTAGCAATAACCAAGACTCATCCAGCCAGTATCACATTGAGTTTGTGAAGCCATCGTGGTGCATATAAATAGGGTTAACCGATCTGACATTGTCGATGGACGGTATCCATAAAGGGGCATGCGATGAACATGCGGGGTTGGCGAAATAGTTCACCATTGGTGGGCATAAATGTCCCGAAGACATCTGGCAAGTGAAGCAAAGCAATTTGGGATTCCCCGCAAAACGGCAACCGCGGCGTGATCTCGTTGAGTTGAAGAGCTCCATGTTTAGGTGATGTACAACGAAATATACCTAAAGAAAAAGAAATCTGCTGCATTTCTGCCATCCGTACGTCCGGCCTCAAGGCGGTCGATCTCGTCAAGGAGCTCTTCGCATTGCCGCCACCGCTCAATCGCCTGCAGAACAGCTTACCGAGAAGATCGTCGACTGAACCCTGCAAGTGGTCCCCGAACGAGGCGTTTCCCGAAAGCAGACACGGAACCAGAGGTTGAATGAGTTGAGAACACATCGAGCACGGTGCATTTGGACTCTCGCATCCAACTCCAAAGCTGCGTTTCGGACATTTCATGGGGGAACAATCCTGAGCCGATCCATTCGCCCGGAGATTGATTACTTGACGTTTCTCGTTCAACTTGCAGTTTTTGCTCATATCCCTGATTCAGGGCCATAGTACTTTATCTCTCCCATGCCTACAAGACGGCTAGCGATGTCAAGAGTCAAGACCTCGTGGAGGTTCAAATCGGTCAACAAAAGCCAAGGGGATCTCAAGTGCATTGGAACCGTTTTCTGGCATCTCATTTGCTTCGTTCTAGAGACAATCACAGCCGTTTGCTATCTTCCGGGTGAGCGGATCTGTCTTGACTCGTGAGCGGTGCCTCAGCAGATGCGTCCACCTGCGGACAATGGCCAGTTGGCCAAGGTATTGACAATAATCGACGCTGCTGAAAGGAAGAGACAGGCCGAAGAAAGTGTCATCCACACTCCAAGCAGGCGAATTGTATGCGGTAGGCCAATGTTGGCCAAAAGAGAGCGCGTTCACCACGGGCGTGTGCCCCGAATGCTGCACAGCATGCCGGGCTCCCCCATCATTTAGCGTCACCCTCAAACCACCCCGCGTTATTTCTCTGAAATTACCGGCATGGAATGAAGCATCTTCGCAGGGGTAGGGTAGCACTTCGGGAGGTGATCATGCCTTTAACCCCTTTGGGACTGGAGAGATGTCACTTGGTTCCTGGTTTTTGCACCAACGAAAGCTTGGTAAAGCCATGGATGGTCGCGAAAGACATTGGTTAGCTGGGATGGCCTCAGAGGCATGGTCAATAGAGTGAGTCCATGAACTGAGATATAAGATGGGCAGATCTGATTCTCCTGGCTCCTGCTTCTGGGCCATCGGCTTGAGGACTTTAACGCTGGCCTACCTTGTTTGATTGTCGATTCCATCACGATGAAGACGTTTGCCGCACTCTGCACTCTGCTTGCTGCAGCACAAGCTGCCACGAGGACCTCGGCCCCATCGGGGTGCATCACCGTCAGCAAATCTCCGGCCAGTGGGCAGTTTGGCACGATCCAGGCTGCTGTGAACTCCCTGTCAACGTCGGCCTCGGGCACACAGTGCATCTTCATCAACCAGGGCTCATACGCCGAGCAAGTCCTCGTCCCGAGCCGCATCGCTCAACTTACCATCTATGGCTACAGCACGGACACCAGTGGCTACGCCGGCAACAAAGTCACCATTACGGCGAACAAGAGCCAGAAGGACGGGCTCAACAACGACGAGACTGGCACCCTGCGCGTGAAAGCCAACAACTTCAAGCTGTACAACGTCAACGTCGCCAACACGTACGGCAAGGGAAGCCAGGCCATCGCCCTGAGCGCCTACGCCGACAGCGGCTACTACGGGTGCGCCTTCACCGGCTTCCAGGACACGCTCCTCAGCAACACCGGGTACCAGCTGTACTCGCGCTCCCTGATCCAGGGCGCCACGGACTTTATCTTTGGCCGCCAGGCGTCTGCGTGGTTCGAAAAGTGCGACCTCCGCGTCCTCAGCGCCTCGAAGGGCTGGATCACAGGTAAGACCCACACCATCGGGATGATATGCCCCAGGAGAACTATCCACGCACACGAGGCTGATGAAGAGCTGGATAGCCAACGGACGCGATTCTTCGTCCAACCCGTCCTACTACGTGTTCAACAACTGCAACATCGCCGCTGCCTCCGGCAACAGCGTGAGCGCTGGTGCCTACTATCTCGGCCGTCCGTGGGGCACCTACTCCCGTGTCGTGTTCCAAAAGACGACAATCTCGTCCGTCATCAACTCGGCGGGGTGGTCGGTCTGGAACACAGGCGATGAGAGGACCAGCAATGTCGCGTATGGCGAGTACCAGAACACGGGCGCCGGGGCCTCGGGCACCCGAGCGAGCTTTTCCAAGGCCCTTTCGTCGGCTGTCTCCATCTCGACCATCTTGACGAGCAGCTATGCTAGCAAGGGCTACTATGACGCTTCGTACATGTGAAACGCTGCGATGGAGGTCATTTTTTGCCTAAATGCTTCTCACTAGGCCGCCTTGTACCCTGGCTTAGCCGCTTTAGGTTTCACGACTGTATATAGGAATCGATATCGACGATGAAGTGTTTAATTTCATGAGGCTGAATCGGTGTGCTTGGCGAGTCATGATGGCATGCCATGCCGCGAGACCGAGACTGGCTTTCAATGACTGTCTCCTTTTGCGGCGTAGCGAATGTTATGCAGTTCTGTACTGTGGCCATGGAGAATGAACAGCCGACGATGGCGATATTCGAGGTGTCTATTGACAGTAAGAGCTGGACCGACTGTCTGTCCAAAAGCCGCACTGCAAGCTGTCAGCCATGTGGCATCGAAGCATTGACAACTCATTGTAGGTCATGCCACAGTGGGATTGGTTTCCTAGGCGAGTTGTGGTACTTTTGCCACCTTCTCCCCTGGCTACAGGGATTCCTGCCGTTGGTGCGGGGTGGTGTGTCGAGCAATGTCATTGAAGTAGGCAGACGTGGACGAGCACAGCTTATAAGAGCCGCTTGACAAGCAGAGCTTCTTACTGCCAAGGCATCATCCTCAAAAACCGCGACTCAGAAAATCATCAAAGACTTACAGTGAAAGCTTCAACCCCTCACCATGTCTACCGCTTACACAGGCGCCTCGGGAGCAGAAATGCTGGCTAGCCACACGCTCGCTCAAGAGATCATCGCCCGCAACAGTGACGCGGATCCCGTCCTCGATTTCGAGGAGCTCAATCTCCTCGAACATTACGTCAGAGACCCAAGCCAGGCAAAGGAGATTCTCGACTCCAAAGGCTACGCCGATGAAGCGCAGAGGGCCGGCAGCCTGGTGACGCATGTCATCTCCCTCCACGGCACCAACACTCCTGGTCTGCACGATGGGGAAATAAGGGTCCTCAGGGAATGGTTCGAAAACGGCCGTGCAGGCAAGGCTTGAATTTCATTCCATCGCAGTCTTGTGTGTCAATGGCAGTAACACCGTGGGCGGAATGCCTCTATGTATCGTAGGTAGCTATTATAGTCTATCGTCCGCCACACTGGCTCAGGGAACAACCTCGTGGATTTCGCCCGTGACAATGTCAACCGCATACCCCACGATCTGCGTCCTTGGCCAAAAAGTGCCAATTTTTGATTCTGCCACGTCCTGACGAAGACTCTCGTCGATGCTGTTTGCTTCCGCGTCAGCATTGTCCTGTGACAGTAGACAGGGGTAAAATAGCATGACAAGCATTCCACCCACGAGAAAAAGGTGCCAAATCGCATATTTGATCTCGTGCGCGTGGGAAGGGGCTCGCTCTCTGAGCCGAAGATGGACTTGTTCATCAGTTGTGCACAGCCCGCCGCAGTCTTTGGCAATGTCAGTTTCCGATCATGGCCAATGTCGTTGTCGTACAGAGAAGCGCAAAAAGTCATACCAGTGTGGTGTACGACGACGATCATGGCCAGGGGGGCGATAGTCCCCATGACGGCAAGGCTCCGTTTGGCGTCGAAAGTACGGCCGCCGGCATTGCGGATGACCTTGGCCTCTGCGGCATGGTCCGCTCAGTACGCGTCCTTAGATCCGGTAGGTAGAGGGCCACCCACCTCCGAGTTGGAGACCGCAGAAGTCTCTCGGGTCGACTCGCATGTCGGCGCAAGATACTGGGCTCGGTCCGCTTCTGAAGTGGCACAAGGTGGGGGGAGGTCAGGTTTCGGAGGCTTCTCACTGATGCAGGTCGATCCGTGCTCTCCCTTGACGCTGATGATGTCTTGGAGGAGAGGAGGGCACTGACGGTGCTCGATGTACTCCCTGCCCGTGGTCGTCAGTCTGTGTTGCGCCAGCGATCGTCGCCGGGGATTCCGCACTCATTTCGCACGATGATCTAGCTTTTTGTCGGCCATGATGAGCAAGTCGGACGGCCATGATGAGCAAGTCGGAGATGAAATGATGGACGAGTGAGCAGGAGGTTGTGAATAGCTATCGTGGTGCGAATGTTATGGGGGACCACACCACCGGTGACATTCCTAGACGACATCTTCATGGTAGTCCACGACCCTGATCATCATCAGTAATTGACCCCGCGCCGCTGGTCGATATCTCTCATCGTTCTGGTCACGATCTGCTTGTCATTGTCCCTCGTGACGTGGCCTTGTTTCTGTAAAGTGCGATGAGCCAGAGAGCTAGGATGCCATGGCAAGGTACTGACTTGTGTGTCCTTGTTCTGTCATGAGCAGCGAGGCTCGAAGACGAGTGGAGGCGCAGGCGGCTGCAGGCCAAGTGCCGCCTTGCCGCGTGCCTGCCCCTGGCACACGCACGGATCCCCTCCACGACCAACTGACAGACAGCATCGCTTTGACTGATGGCGTGCAACTAACCATCACAGGTGCAACAATGCCTCTTTGCTGAGCGCATCCACGATTGTCCCACAACTTCACCACGAAACCTTCCGACGGCGCAGGTGTAGGTCCAGGTCCAGGTCCAGGTCCAGGCCCAGGTTCAGGTCCGACAGAGACCGCTCCCTCGCCAAGATGTACCACCTGGCCAAGAGTCTCTATCTGCTCGCGACGAGCAAGGAAGGTGCGCAAGCCCGCGACCCAAAGCCCCGACGGCTACGACGCCAACCCGATGCTGACAAGACCCAGAGTACTCCGTCATCCTCCTCGGCCTCGACAATGCCGGCAAGACGACCTTCCACGAGCAGGTCAAGTCGCTCTTCCTCGCGTCGCACCCGAACCCCAAGCTCAACACGGTGCCGACCGTCGGCCAGAACGTCTCGACCATCGACCTGCCGGACATGTACCTCAAGATCTGGGACGTCGGCGGGCAAATGTCGCTGCGCAAGCTCTGGCAGAGCTACTACGCCAGCGCCCACGCCATCGTCTTCATCCTCGACAGCACCGACCTCGGCGACGGCCACCTCGTCGAGGACGAGCGCGGCGGCTTCCGCGCCAAGCCCGGCCGCGAGGCTATGGGCGCGGGCGGCGGCGACGACGACGACGGCCGCCTCGCCGAGTGCAAGGCCGTGCTCGAGGACGTGCTGCGCCACTCGGACACGGAGGGCGTGCCGGTGCTCGTGCTCGCCAACAAGCAGGACCGCGAGGACTGCGTCGAGGTCGTGCGCATCAAGGAGGGGCTCGTCAAGCGCGTCTTCGAGGGCGAGCAGGCTGGCAGCATCCGCGACTCGCGCGTCCTGCCCGTGAGCGCGCTGACGGGGACGGGCGTCCGCGAGGCCGTCGAGTGGGTGCGGTCGAGGGTCAAGTGGAACAAGGAGTCGCGGCCGCCTGTGATGAGGTAGGGTGCGAGGAGGAAGAGGAGCACGACGAAGAAGCATCACGAATGATGACTTTTTTCTTTCTTCTTTTTTTTTTTAAAGAAACCATTTTTCATTACTTTCTCGGCGTTGGGCGCTTGGAGCGAGCACTTCCCGTCGGACACTGCAGAGTGTGGGAAACGTATGGAGCGTCCTGGGCGTGCAGACCATAGAATACCTGCCACGAACCGATTTTCATAGACATGTAGACAGGATAATCCAAATCTGGGGTATCATTCATTTTTATACTTCACTTTATCTGCCATGAACAGATTCAGATCTTCATAGACATGTAGACAGGATCATCCAATCTGGGGTATCATTCATTTTTATACTTCACTTTATCTGCCATGAACAGATTCAGATCTTCATAGACATGTAGACAGGATCATCCAATCTGGGGTATCATTCATTTTTATACTTCACTTTATCTGCCTTGAACAGATTCAGATCTTCATAGACATGTAGACAGGATCATCCAATCTGGGGTATCATTCATTTTTATACTTCACTTTATCTGCCACAAACAGATTTCCATAGACATGTAGGCAGGATCATCCAATCTGGGGTATCATTCATTTTTTATAATTCACTTTTATTCGTGCCCCCAGGCCTCACCCCGCCACACGGTCATTCTCCGCCGACAGCTCAGCCATCAAGCCACCCTTGTCTCTCCTCTTGGCGTCCGCGGCCAGTGTCCTGTCGACCAGATCCGACAGCTCCCCGACCTTGCGGGCCGCGAGCGCCGCGCACTGCAGCAGCGTCGTGGCCTCGACGGCGTCGCCGCCGAGCTTGGACGCCTGACAGACCTCGCCATGCTTGTTGAGGCTGATGGTGCACGAGGCGACGCGCAGCTGCTCCTCGCGCCAGTCGGGGTCGAGCAGCGTCACGCCGTCCCGGCCGTCGCCGTCGGGGCCGCCGTCCCTGGCGCCAAAGTGGGCAAAGGTGACGCAAAAGGGCGAGTGCAGCCAGCCGAGGGGCACGGGGGCGCGCTCGGCGGGGGTGAAGACGGTGAGGTCCTCGCCGTCGACCTGGGCGTCGGGCTTGCGGAAGTGGCGCAGGGCGGCGACGGCGGCGAGGCAGGCGGCGTCGACAATGTTGCCGTCGTGCGAGACGACGTGGACGTCGGCGCGAACGCTCCAGACCTTGGCGCCGGCGACGAGGCAGAGCGACTCCATGTCGAGGGCGCCGGAGCGGCGGATCGTCTTCTCGAGGAGCCGCGACAGCAGCATCTCCGTGTCGGTGGGCTTGCCCGGCTCAAAGTGCGGCGACGCCATGGGCGAGAGCTCGGTGGCGAGCTGGAAGATGCCGTCAAAGGGGCGGTCGGCGTGGGGGACCGTGACCTCGGCCGAGATGCGGACGATGACTCTGGGGATCTGGTCAGTCCGCTGGCATCAAGTCAAGGAAGGGAGGGATGCAGGTCGTTCTACCTCGTCTTGCCGAGGCTCACGTCGACGACGCCGTACTCATCGCCAAAGGAAATGTCGATGTTGCGATACTGGTCAAAGGGACGGCCGTCTAACCTGACGCCTTCATGCAGGGCCTTGAGGATGAACTCTTTTTCGTTGACCGAGGGCTCAGCCTCTCGCGGCATCTTGGCGGCGATTGTGGGAGAGGGTGCCGAGGTGGGAGGTTTGTCTCACTAGGAGTGGTGAGGCGATGAAGCTTTATTACCTTGGGCAGATACCTAGGTAAGGTAGGCAAGGTAGGTAAGGCAGTATGGTGATGTTCGCCATGAGCTTGAGTTGGAAGAGCTTGACAAAATTCTGCCAGGCGGCGCCGGGCCGGCTGGCGGTACTTTGGGTTGTACCTAACTTGGCAGTGTGGATGGGTACCTTTCTGCACCAATCGGCGTTGCACCTTGAATCTCGACTCTGTCTCCTGCCATCATTTCGACATTCCATCATTTCGATCCATCATTTCGACGCTTCCAACATCTCGACACATCACCATCTCGACACTGCCTCGACACTTCACCATCTCGAGAACACCACCGCCCTCCATCCAGAAACATGACCACAGCCCACAGGCCGACCTTTGACCCCGCCCGCGGCAAGGAGGCCCTCCGCGGCCCGGCCTACCACCAGCGCCTCCTGCCCGCCCACACCCAGCTCAAGTTCCGCCAGCGAGGCCAGGGCGGCGCCGCCGACGAAGACGACGACGCGCCGCGCGACCTCGCCGCCGAGCTCCTCGCCGCCGAGGCCGCTCACGCCGCCAAGAAGAACGGCACCCCTCTGCCTCCCCCCTCCGACGCGCCCCCCGCGACAGGCGGTGTCAAGCGGCCCCTCGACGGGCCAGGCGGCGGCGGCGGCGGCGACGTGGACGAGGCCGACGAGGAAGATTTCGCCGCCAAGCGGAGGAGGATACTGGAGGAGACGCGGGATATCGATGCCGACTCGGAGGACGACGAGGAAGCGGACGACGACGACGATGACGACAGTGACGACGACAGCGATGACGAAGAGGCCGAGCTGCAGCGTGAGATGGAGAAGATCCGCAAGGAGAGGGCCGAGAAGAGGGAGCGCGAGGAGCGCGAGAGGGCGGCCGAGGAGCAGGCGGCGCGCGAGAAGGACATAGCGCTGGGCAACCCGCTGCTGAACAAGCCCGATTTCAACATGAAGAGGCGCTGGGACGACGACGTCGTGTTCAAGAACCAGGCGCGCGGGACCGAGGACAAGGGGAAGAAGGAGTTTATCAACGTGAGTATTGTCTTCCTTCTTTACACTTGGAGCCCCCCGCTGACCCGCTCTCAGGATCTGCTGCGGTCCGACTTCCACAAGAGGTTCATGAACAAATATGTCAGGTAGACGCGCATCGTGGATAACCCCCTCCTCGAACCGGCGACGAACACCACCCTACAGAATCTGCTTGACCTCGCCCCGGATGCGCGTGACACCTGCCTTCTTGTCGATAAAGTTGTGCTCGTCAGGCTCAATCGTCTCGCGATAATACGCATCCCCAAAGGCTGCCGCAAAGACCTCCATGCTCGGCACCTCGAACACAGCGCAGCCGTCGTACTCGGCCAGAGGGCTGGCGCCGGCGTTTTCCGGACCGATGGGCGCAACGCCCTCATTCAGAGCCGGCGTGGCATGGACCTGGGGGCGTCAGCGGGAGGTCGGGGGACAGTGAGCGTGACTCTCGAGGGCCAACGGTCGCTCACCTGCGTGTACGAGATGAAGCCGTGCTTCTTCATCCAGGGACGGACCAGCGGGCCGTGGACCTTTTTCCAGTGGTGGTAGAACTGCTCGGGTGTTGTGCCGGCCTTGCGCTTGATGAAGGAGATGCTGATGACCGTCTGGCTGGTATCGAGGTCCGACATGGTGTTCTTGTGTTACGATAGGTGTTGGTGTATGATTCGGCCAAGCTGTATTTCATCAATCCAGAGTCTCCCAACAGCCCGTCGGGTGTCGTGAATATTACTCTCTTTCAACGTTCTTCATGCCAAAATTTTCGGTTTACATAGCAGCACTCGAGATCCTTAGTTACATGGCAGCACGGAAAACAACACCCGAACACCCAGTCCGCAAGATCCAGGCACCAGCATCCCCAATCACTCCTCCTTCTTCCTCTTCCTCTCCAGCCCCTCCGCCACAGCCTCGGCCAGATCCTCGACCGTCGTCCCCCGCCGCCTCTTGCCAACGCGCTCAGCGCCGAGCACCGTCTCGTCAGCAACGACACGAAACACGTCCGCAGCGCCGCGAAACAGGGCCTCGCCCGCAAAGCCGCCATCGACACGGTGCGTCTCGCTGATCTCCTCCATCTCCGCCACCCACCGGTACGCCTTGGGCGGCACGGCGACGACGGCGCGCTCCGCCTGCTCGGCCAGCCGCGGCAGCCGCGCCCGCAGCTCGGCCCGCAGCAGCGGCAGCACGCCCAGCGCGTGCGCCGTCGTGAACGACTCGACCGCCAGCGCCGTGAGCCCTTTGCTCAGCGACGCGAAGCACATCTTCAGCCCCGACGCCGCGCCGACGGCCGCGCTCATGTGGGCGGCGCCGAGCGTGGCTGAAAGGCGCCGGCCGAGCCCGGGGAGGCTGGCGAGGGTGTGCGGGCCCCGCGGTGGGAATGCCGGGGACGGACCAGCCGGATTGGGCGTCTTCTTCGTCGGCTTCCGCGTCTGCTTCCGCGTCTGCTTTCTCGTCTGCTTTTCCGCCTGCCCTGGCCGACTGCCTCGGGCGGCGAAAGAGTCCCGGTTGCGGCCCGCGCCCCGGCCCCGGGCG